CCTCAGAAACACCGCGATATGCTCAGACCCTTCAAAGAAGCAAAGCCGTTCATGACTTACACCTTTCATCAAATAATTTCCTCCATCATTTCTTGAAGTATTTTTCATGCATTCACTAAATATACAACCTTTTCATTTCACCAAGAACCTCAGAATTATGAAGCTTTATAGCGAGGTCTCCTGTCCTCAGATGAAGAGCCTGGACCGGGAAGGTGAACGACTTTTCCTACGGTCTCTGCCGAACATCCCTGTGAGGCCACTGCAGCTCCAGCCGTGAACCAGACACACGTTTATGTGAACAGTGGCTGGAGCCATGGGCCCTGCCTGGTGCCCCAGGGAGGCCCCCCATCTCGATATCTGCAGCCTCTCCCCTCCCCCAGGCCACACCCTGACAGCCCCCATCCCGACAGTGTAGAACTGGCCCCGTGGCAGTTCCTGGGCCCGTAACGCTCTGACTTTCCCTGATGGTGTCGAAGCCACAGAATGACTCACGTTAAGTCTCAGGCTTGCTGCCTGATTTAGAGAAATTTAGTCTTTTGTCTGCGCTATTTCTTCTACGTGCTACAACCTAAGATGCTTTAAAAATGTCGTCCATGGAGCTGGAGAACAAAAAGCATGAGTGTTTAAAAAGCAAAAGCCAGGTCATCCCTGGGGTTTGTAAGCACCACCCGCATCACCACGTGCCATGTTGGTGTCACGAGGCACCATCCCCAAGACCAGATAGGTGTGTTAGGCTGTGGCCAGAGTGCCTTTGTACCTGAACCTTTTTGCCAGTGTTCAGTGTAGTTCAGGTACTTTATTGTGCTTCCCGATCATGTTCTTCAGGCTTACACTTATCATCATTGCTCAGATTATAATCGGTCTTTTTTTTTTGGTCTGTACCATGCGGCTTGTGGGATCTCACGTCCCCAGCCAGGGGGTCGAACCTGGGGCATGGCAGTGAAAGCACCGAGTCCTAACCACTGGACCACCAGGGAAGTCCCAGATTATAATTGGTCTTAATTCATTTTTTAAAAACCGCAGGCTCTATGGGATGAATGTGCCAGAAAAGCATCGTGCAACATACACACGGGATGTTAGCAGATGCAAAATGAGAAAGAGTCGCATGGCCAAGTAAGATGAATGAATGCTGGATTAAACAACATTAAACTAATTTGTTTTCTGCAGGACTTCTCAGGGCCTTTAATAAGAAAATCTTAATTACATGAAGGAGCGATATATACATATACATGTACATAATAGGTAGCATCTTCCAAATCTGTTAGGCCACAGAGCCTTCACCATTTGTTTTTCTCTTGGGCAGCATATTCTAAAGTAACAAGTGGCAGGTAGTAAGTATTTTTAAAGCACCAACTAGGTGCAGTACACTATGGATCAATGAAAGAGAGTCCATTTCCTGGATGAGGAAGTAAGGCCTAAACGCATTAGGCCTCAGATAGTGATATAAAGAAACACCACGGAGGATAGGAAGTGACATAGTATCAATTGTCAAGTGAATAAGGCTACAATTTTTTGAGTGTAGAGGAGAGAGAAACAAACAGAACATATTTTTGCAGCTACAGAACACATACAATACGGCTTCTCTGCTCAAGAAGTGAGGATGCAGGCCCCGTGATGCAGGCTGGCCTGGTCCATGTGTGACAGACCGGAACTGCTTCCCCTTCACATGAATGTGAATCACTGGGGTCTGAACCGACTCAGTGGGCTTGGGATGGTGGTCGAGATTCTGCGTTTCTTTTATTTTTTTAAATTTTTAATTTTTTTATTGAAGTACAGTTGATTTACAGTGTGTTAATTTCTTCTGTACAGCAAAGTGATTCAGTTATATATATATATATATATATATATATATATATATATATACTCTTTTTTAAAGTATTCTTTTCCATTATGGTTTATCATAGGATATTGAATATAGTTCCCTGTGCTATACAGTAGGACCTTGTTGTTTATCCATTCTATATATAAAAGCTTATATCTGCTAACCCCAAACTCCCAATCCATCCCTCTGCTACCCCCTCCCTCCCCCTTGGTAACCGCCAGTCTGTTCTCTATGTCTGTGAGTCTGTTTCTGTTTCATAGACAGATTCATTAGTGTCATATTTTAGATTCTCTATATAAATGATATCATGGGATATTTGTCTTTCTCTGTCTGACTTACTTCAGTTACTGTGATCATCTCCAGGTCCTTCCATGTTACTGCATGTGGTATTATTTCATTCTTTTTTATGGCTGAGTAATATTCCATTGTATGTATGTGCCACATCTTCTTTATCCATTCCTCTGTCGATGGACATTTAGGTTGTTTGCATGTCCTGGCTACTGTAAACAGTGCTGCAGTGAACATTGGAGTGCATGTATCTTTTTGAATTATAGTTTTCTCAGGGTATATGCCCAGGAGTGGGATTGCTGGATCATGTGGTAGTTCTATTTTTAGTTTTCTGCGAGACCTGCAGAGATTCTGTATTTCTAACAAGCTCCTAAATGGTGCTGATGCCACTCCCTGGTCCAAGGACCACACTTTTCCTGTAAAATCCAGATAATAAGTGTTGCAGGATTTGTGGGCCGTGCAGTCTGGCCCAGCAACCCAGCTGTTGCTGCAGCACAAAGGTGGCCACAGACACTGTGTTAGTTCAAGGGCACGGTTGTGATCCCCCAAGACTTTGTTTATAGACTCTGAAATCTGACCTTTATATAATTTCCATGTGTCACAAAATAACTCTTCTGATTGTTTTCCTCACCTTTCAAAACATGGAAACCATGGCTTGGCTCACGGGCCTCAGGAAAGCAGGTGGTGGCCTGCAGGCTGTGTGCACAGCCTGAGGTCAGGGTGTCACAGCCCTGGGGTGGCCGGCAGGGGTGTCCCAAGGAGCTTATCTAACCAAGGCAATCAATCGTCCTCTCTTTTAAACCTTAATTGTGTTTTTTCATGCCTCATTTTCCCTCTGACAGTTGGTTCTTATCTTTTTATGGCAGTGTAACTCACCCTAGGTAACGTACAGACACCTAGACTCTGGCCGGTTCCAGAGTCCACCAGGCTCGACTCTTTCAGGCCTCTAGTACCTGACATGGTGCTGTCCACGTGGAAGATGCCCGGCAAGCGTGTGCTCGGTAGAGCTGAGTCTGTTGAAGGCACCTTTCGCTTGCTTGTGAGGAGAGCAGCTCCAGGGTGGGATGGGCACCGAGGGTGAGGGGAGAATTGCAGGGAGCAGAGAGGAAGCAGGTCATACATGAGGGCTGCATAGGAAACGAGAACTCCATGCAGATACCTGACCGAAACAGGATTCGGATAGGAACATGATAGAAAAGAAAACCTGGGCCAAGTTATAGGAAAGCAGACAGTAAAGATCTAAAGTTTAGGGAATGGTTCATGTAGGGAAGAGTGTCGAGTGCTTTCATCTGCCACAGGATAAAGACTCCCTAGCTTGCCAGGGATGAAGAGATCAATTAAAAGACTTCAGGTCGAGTAACACTGGAGCCATAGACAGTTCTCCGGGCGGGGTGGCGGGGTGAGGATCTGGCCTGTGATTGTGGAAAGAGCAGAGAAGGAGGGACTAGAAAATGGTTCTCGGCCAGAATGTTCTCCAGGACTTTACGAAAACAAAGGAAAGCACAAACTACTCAGAATCATGAAATACTGTCCTTCTCAACTGCCTCAAAAGCAATATACCTTGCATTGCATTAGATGCTCAGTTGGCTGGGGTTTTTTTTTTTTTTTTTGCGGTATGCGGGCCTCCCACGACTCACGGGCCCAGCCGCTCTGCTGCACGTGGGATCTTCCCGGACTGGGGCACGAACCTGCGTCCCCTGCATCAGCAGGCGGACTCGCAACCACTGCGCCACCAGGGAAGTCCTTTATATGGTTTTTAATTCCCGAAGTCATGTCTGTTCTTTTCCAAATATCCCGTACTTATTTTTTTAATATAGTTTCTGGAGTCAATATGCTAAGTATTAGCAAACTGGCTTGTTTTATTAACGTAACTTTCAGACTAAATATAGACAGAAGCCTATATTATGCTATCTAAATGCAGAAAAGGTTAGTTTTCACTGACATAAAAAGGATGCCAAGTCCAAAGAATTTTATAGAAGATCAGACTCAGGGAAAATCTCTCAGTGCTGATTAAGAGCTAGATGGACAATTCTGTCCCAGAGAATTCAGTCCTTTTAGTTGTCAGTGGCACGTTCCTTCGCATTTCTTTAAAACTAAATAACGTTTGTGGCGAGGAGGGTTAGGGCAGCTTTGCATTTTTTTGGAAAAATCCTGTTGAGAGTTTGAGGTGCTCAGGGAATAAAGGAAAGGGTGTGAGGGGGAACCCGCATAGAAACAGTCTGGCCACCTGCCACCTCCCATACCAAGGGCCTGGTCGATGGGAAGGGGTGAGACCAGCAAGAATGAATTACAGAGCACTGCTGCCCCTGCCCGCATCATGGGGGCCGGGCACGCTGCTGGAAGGTTCTCTAAATATCAGAAATGTGGAAGGCGTTAACTCTGTTCCTGCCCAGCTGACCATGTCAACAGGAACATTGCTGCCCAGGGTCTGTAACATGACAGTGTCTCCGTTGATACTATACATTAAGTATTTTGAGCACAATGTTTATATTACTTCCATATTTTTCTTTAGATAAGAACAATAGATAAAATTGTAATAGACGTGAGAGGCACTGGTGATAAAACATTTTTGTAAGACACTTGGAACTTGTGTTCCTTTCATTTTGTAACTGAAATGGTCTTTCCCAGTGTGATGATGTCCCTTATTTCCAGGTTGATGAAATGTACAAGGTGCTTGACAAAGAAAACCCATGGGAATTGTCTAGCCATGCATTTCATGGTCTCAAATGTAATAGCATTTAGTAAGGTTAGTAACACGGACACAGGTCTTTTTTTTATCAGACAGGCATCTCGTTACATAGCATCTCGCCTTTCACTTCTGCTTTATTATTTTAAATGTCCCCTTTTCCTTTCTCTCCCTTCTGTCCTGGGACTTCCGTTTGGCCAGCAGATGGTTCTGTGAGGGGATCGAGCTGCACGACAGTCCCGACATCCAGATCCGCTGGGACGGGGGCGACCTGCACACGCTGGTCATAGCTGAGGCCTTTGAGGACGACACAGGGCGCTACACCTGCCTGGCCGCGAACCCCGGTGGCTCTGACACCACATCGGCCGAGGTGTTCATTGAAGGTACCCAGGGATGTGGGGTGGGGGCGTGGGGTGCCGAGTGGGCAGGGGCCCATTGCTTCTTGTGAACGTGGTTTTCCAATGTTGTGAGTCAAACCTCATTTGTCCTCCAGGGCAGATAAATCGAGTGGCTCTGACACTTGGGTGTACGTCTGCGTCGACAATGTCTGATGTCAACATTTGTTCCTTTTCATTTAAAACATTTCAGCTACGTGAATTTATTTAGAATACTGAGTGTCCAACTTATTTCTGGTTTCTCTGGTGGACGAAGAATGTGGGCATGTTAAAATACTAGAAATACTAGACCTGTCAACCAAAGTTAAACTCTCAAAGACTTAGGAGATCATTCACAGGGATATTAAGCAGTTGAGTATTTTTAAATGTTCTCATTTCTATTAGATTCTAGAACTTTTCCTTTTTTGTTAGGGTGCTGCTATTTCTGCTAAGTGTACCATGGACTTGTAATCACTAGGTCAAAAAATTTCCAGAATCAGTGTTGCATTAAAGAGGGGTGGGCACAGAGTAGAATATCTCTATTGTTCTAACAATTCATTTTTGACGAGACTCAGCCTATAGGGAATTAGAAAACTTGCTATCAAAGTATATAGTTTACATCACTGTTGCATTTTTATCACTATCCATCACTTAAGTTGGAAGTGGCTTAAACACCAGTGTTCTGTGTCCCTAAAGCCATAAATTGGTGAGTAGCCTTGTAATTGCTTGCATTTAAAAATAGTAGCTGGAACACAGAGAGAAAATTGAAATCCTCGAGGTCTCCAGTACCTTAATCTTCATCTTTTTACTAAATGTTTTTTTACTCTTTAATAGCACTAAATTTCTTTGTTTTTTAAAGTAGAAGAAAGCAAGATGTGAACCATTATTTATAGCCCTTGTAAGAACTGGCAAAAAAAATAAATTAGTTTTAGAAGTAACTGTTACTGCCAACTAAAACTATGTGCCTTTACTTTTAATAAAAGTGTCCCCTGCATTGTCTTTGAAGGCGTCTGTGAGCTCCTTCGGGGACTTTGTCCTGCTAATAAGAGCAAACCTTCTGTATTAACAATAAGTGATGCTACATGGCAGTTACATGTACACACACGTGCAGACACGGTCATTTAAACCTCACCGTGAACCTGAGAGGTGTTATCAGGGTCCCCTTTTACACATGGGTAAACTGAGCCTGGGAAGGTGAAAGGGACCTGTCCAAAGTCACTCCAGGATTTGGACCCAGTCCGTCTTACTCCAGGGCCCATATCCTATTCGCTATGTCACAAGTATCTCAAAGTGCTAAGTGAACAGGAAAAGAGTGGCAAAAAGATTTTTAGCATTTAATAAGCGAGCAGTGAGTATCAGTCATGGGCTGACTGTGCAGCAAACTTCTTGAAGCATTTTAGAATACAGAGGGGGAAAGTTAAACTTCCATTAAAAAAAAAAACAAAACCCATTTGCTAATGATGGTCAGATTTGTCTTTCAAAACCAAGTTCAACTAGAGCTGCTTAAAATTAAATGCTTTCAAGATTGCTAGAAATGGGTACTTCAGTGTGGATTGCTTCTGTACTACAGACATTAAATCACGTCAGTTTTACGTACTAGTTTACCAACTCGATCCAGCCACGTTTATTAAGGCCTTGCTCTGTGCCAGACAGTGTGGTGCAGATATGATGGGGATGGGCACTGCTATCAAGGAGTTCCCAATCTAACAGCCCAGATGGACACATTTTTTAAAAAAGAATATAAAGTAAGTGATGTTATAAGTGATATAACAGATATCTAAAGTGTTATAAGGATACAAATGAACTTAAAAGATTAACTGCAAGGTATATAAGACACACTAACTTTCATAGAATAAGAGGAACTATTTCTCTGCCTTGGAAACCACTTCAGGATCTGACTCTGGAGGTCCAAAACATGCATGCCATGGCCTTTAACTTTATTTCATTAAATTGAGCTCTGCCACGTAGAAAGCCCCTGTAGTGCAGTCCTCTCCTGCCTTTGGGGTCTCTGCATGAACTACTTAATGTGGGAAAAGCACCCCCAGTTCTACCTGCCACGCGTGGTCCATGCCCAGGGCTCCACAGAGGTGGCGGGTGTTCCTAGTGTCCCTTTTTGCACCTGAGGACCCTGCATTGGCTTAGACAGCCCCCCAGCTGCGGGTCTGGCTTCAGATCTTTGTGCTGAGGAGAGGAGGGGTCTGGGCAGAGCCGGAATAAAGAGCCCTTAAGCATGAGCCTCCTAAGCCTCCTGGAAAGTGCGTTAGGAAACTGGCTCATCGTCCCCATGAAATATGGGTGATAACTTTTTTAAAGCCTGATTTTGGTGTATTTTTATCCCTAAGAACAATTACGTGAAATGGAAGAGAATTTTACATAAATTCTTAGGCTCCTATTATGACTGAAAGGAAGAAGTGTTTATGTTTTCCTTACTGCAGCACTAAATTAGACTTAGGAGTATCTCTGTTGTCCCTAAACCACATTGCTGTTGCTATGTCAGCGTGCAGTATGCGGGTGGAGGTGGGTACCAGAGGGTAGGAAGTTTTCTATAGATTTAAAAACCTTGAGGAAACCTTCCCTAAAAGTTTAACAACCTACTAGTTGGAAACTGTCTAAATTTCACTGCCTTGTGCAGCAACTTTTAGAATGATAACGAGGAAATTTCAGTTTAAGAACAGTAACTAAGGGGCTTCCCTGGTGGTGCAGTGGTTAAGAATCCGCCTGCCAATGCAGGGGACACAGGTTCGAGCCCTGGTCTGGGAAGATCCCACATGCCGCAGAGCATCTAAGCCCGTGCACCACAACTACTGAGCCTGCGCTCAAGAGCCCGTGAGCCACAACTACTGGGCCTGCACTCTAGAGCCCGAGGGCCACAACTTCTGAGCCCGCGTGCCACAACTACTGGGCCTGCACTCTAGAGCCCGTGTGCCACAACTACTGAGCCTGCACTCTAGAGCCCGAGAGCCACAACTTCTGAGCCCGCGTGCCACAACTACTGGGCCTGCGCTCTAGAGCCCAAGAGCCACAACTTCTGAGCCTGCATGCCACAACTACTGAGCCTGCGCTCTAGAGCCCGTGAGCCACAACTACTGAGCCTGCACTCTAGAGCCCGTGAGCCACAACTACTGAGCCTGCACTCTAGAGCCCGTGAGCCACAACTACTGAGCCTGCACTCTAGAGCCCGAGAGCCACAACTGCTCAGCCCACGTGCCACAACTCCTGAAGCCCATGCGTCTAGAGCCCGTGCTCCGTAACAAGAGAAGTCACTGCAATGAGAAGCCTGGCACGGCAACGAAGAGTAGCCCCCGCTCACCGCAACTAGAGAAAGCCCGCGTGCAGCAACAAAGACCCAAGGCAGCCAAAAATAAATAAACAAACAAACAAACAAACAAAAAACCCAAAACCAGGAACTAACTTTTATCTCCTAGTTTTAACTAGGAACCGAGCCCTGGTCTTCGTTTTCACCTGGATTATCTCATTTAATCCTTACAAGAATCACCCCATTCTGTGGCTGAGGAAACGGCAGCTTAGGGAGACTTGTAGGGCCCCAGACCTCACACACACACTCACACTCCCCTGAGCTTCAAGGACTAAACCCAGTCAGTGTGACCTCTTAAGTCTGAATAGCCACAGGGGAAAATGCAGGTGAACCTTGGGTCTTGGGGCAGCAGGGTCGTCATCTGCATCCAGTAACAGGCCTGGGATGTGTGCCTGGAACATCTCAGGACACCACTGAGCTTTTGGTCATTGGTCACGTGTTCACTGAAGGTCCCCTGGAAGGCAGGCGGTGGGCCAGGCACTGGGTGGGGACACTTGGCAGGACAGGCAGGCCTCGGTCCTCGCTGCGCCGACACTCCAGGAAAGGAGGGACGGGCCCCCCTCATAAATAACCCCAGCCCCAGCCAGCAGGTGCTGGGAAGAGAAGAAAGGTGGGTGAGGGTAGGGGGAGGAGGGCCTCCCTGAGGAGGTGACATCCGACCTCAGTCTGGACTCTGAGAGGAAGCGATGCGGAGGCCGATGGGGCAAGTGCTGCAGACAGAAGTAGGGGCGAGGCTTGGCAGGAGGGGCGGGTGTGCCCAGGAGTGCAGAGGGTGGCAGCTGGGCGGCAGGCAGCTCACACGGGTCGTGGTGCCTTGTGGTCACTGTTAGCCGGCCGGCCTTTATTCTACTGAAAATCGCCACTTGCGGAGCGTTTAAACTGAAAAGTCAGATTATCTGATTTCCATTTTTAAACTGAAGTTTGGCTTGTAATCGGGAGCTTGGTGAGAAGCGTGCCGTGGCAGGACCGGACGGAGCTGGCAGGGCTGCAGGAGCACGCCGTGTAGACGGGGGCAGAGGCAGGCAGACTGCAAAGCCACATGGCGGGTTAGGTATGGGCTGAGGGGCCATGGGAACAAGCAGACCCCGTGGATTTCGGCTTCACCGTTGGGCGTCTGTGGGGGGGGGGCGAGGAGTGGGCTGGGACGCAGAGGGACGTAGGTGATCCGTTTGCACAGCCGCATTTGGACGGCCGAGTGGACACAGGTGTGGGCAGGTGGCCATGCGGGTGCAGTGAGCGCCCAGGGCGAGGACGTGCACTTGGAGCTTCAGGATGTAGATGGTAACCGAAGACACGGGAATAGGCGGGACCGCGTCTGAGCCTGGGCGACCCTTCCCACGCGAAGATGCTCCGGGAGGAGGTGCCGGCGTAGGAGCGTGAGAGGAGGGCTCTGTGGGCGGGGAGGCTGGGGGGGCGGGTCGGTGTTTGAGAGGGGAGGGCCGTGCACCTTGGGCCCCCCGCTGCCGGAGGCCAGCGCTGAGGACAGGAGGGGCAGGTGTGGTTGCTGTGGGGGATGTTAGTAAGAGGGGCTCGGAGAGCCTGGAGGGACCGAACGCCGCGCGTCTGCGGGACCCGGAAGGACGCACGGGAACGCGTTGGGGGGCGCCAGGGAGGTTCTGCCCAAGCACCGGCAGAGCCAGGGGCCGGTATCTGGACGGGAGCGCCGGGTCAGGATGCTTTGTGAGCCTGTTTG